AGCTCCTCCTGGCTTGGGTCAGGAATGCATCTTGGGACATTGGCAAGGGCACTTTTCCAGTTCGAATCCCTGCTCCAAACCCCTGTGACTGGCTGAGGTGTGATAAGTACATGCGGTGCCTGCACCCGCAGAGGAGGCGTTGCCTGGGGACAGGGACAGAGGGGCTTCCTAAGTCTCCCAGAGAAGGTAGAGCCTGTATCAGCGGCCTGAAGAGCTGTCCTCCCTCTGATGCGTCACTGGTGGCTGGTTGACTCCAACGTGGCCCTGAGCCTGGGGTCTTGGCAGGACAGACTGCACTTCAGGTGTCCCCTGAGTCTCATGGCTGCCTTTATCTGGCAGTTTGGTTCCCTGGATCCTGGTTATTTATTTACTCTGTGACTGAGCAGTAGCCTGGGTACCCAGCTTCATGGCCAGCAGGAGGGTGGCTGTCCTCCAAGGGTGGGGTGGGGAGGATGGAGACCAGGTTGTATCTGAAAAGCCAAGGATCTCTCACCTGGTCCTGTGTCCGTGGCACAGTGGGCTGGAGGACCAGACAGACAGCTGCAGGAGAATGGGGCTTCCTGGACTTGTTTCTGCCCTTGGATGGATCGCTGTACTGAAACCAACCTGACTGTCTCAAGAATAACCAATTAGGTTGAGCACAGTGGCTCATGCCTGTAATCCCAGCACTTTGGGAGGCTGAGGTGGGTGGATCACTTGAAGTCAGGAGTTCGAGATCAGCCTGGCCAACATGGCGAAACGCTGTCTCTACTAAAAATACAAAAATTAGTCAAGTGTGGTGGCACATGCTTGTAATCCCAGCTACTTGGGAGGCCAAGGCAGGAGAATTGCTTGAACTCGGGAGGTGGAGATTGCAGTGAGCTGAGATTGAGCCTGGGCAAGACAGCAAGACTCTGTCTCAGAAAACAAATAATAAAAAATAACTAATTGATTGATGGCTTTTTTTTTTTTTGAGACAGGGTCTCCTTTTGTCACCCAGGCTGGATTGCGGTGGCACGATCTCAGCTTACTGTAGCCTTGACCTCCCAGGCTCAAGTGACCCTCCTACCTCAGACAGGTGCACACCACTATGCCTGGCTAATTTTTGTATTTTTTTTGGTAGAAAAACACACAAAATACAGGTTTTTGCCATGCCACCCAGGCTGATTTCCAATTCCTGGGCTCAAGTCATCTGCCCACTTTGGCTTCCCCAAATGCTGGGATTCAGGTGAGCCACTGCACCCGGCCAACTGATGGTCTCTAGTTGATGTTCAGAGCCAGGGTCTGAGCATAGCCTGGTGAAGATGCTAGACTCTGCCGGAGCTTAGACAATGAAATCCCAAAATGAAGGCCCCAAAAGGGAAAGTTTTCGTGTCTTCTGCCACTCTCCTATCTCTCAGTCCCATCTCCCCCAAACTCAATTCTTCCCCAATGTGGGGCATAGAATCCAGAATCCTTTCTCCCCAAAGCTAGTTAGAAAATCTAAAAGTATTACTTGAATTTTCCCCCAGCCTTGTGTAAGAACTGGCTATAACAGAACGATCTGACCTACCTTGTTTGTGGTAGGTCATAAGACCCACATTCCAGAGGTCTTGCCCCATACCCCAGAGGAAGGAATGCTGCTCAGACAGGCCTTGCCGGGTCCCCACACAGTCGATCAGCATTAGATCCGACCGTTTTGTCCAATCCTTTTGTCCAGACCTATTGTCCTTTTGTCCAGCCTAAAGGCTGTCCATCTTTGTTGAAACTAAGCACGAAGACAATTTCCTCTGTACCTCTAGGTCTTCATTCTGAAGGCTCCACGTTCATGTGTGTGCCTTTTCTCCTCATGTGAATTTTCAGCAAACCTTTAGGGGACCAAGGACCTTGGCCTCTACAACTGGCAGGCCTGGCCTTAGCCAGACTGTCCTCAAACTCACAGCCACAGCAGCCTTGGTTACTGCACAGTGATAGGAAATAAACCTGGCCACTCTTCCTTCTAGCTCTAAACTTCCCTCTCAAAAGCACTGGCTGGGAGCAGTGGCTCACACCTGTAATCCCAGCACTTTGGGAGGCCGAGGTGGGTGGATCACAAGGTCAAGAGATCGAAACCACCCTGACCAACATGATGAAACCCTGTCTCTACTAAAAAAAAAATACAAAAATTAGCTGGGTGTGGTGACACACACTTGTAGTCACAGCTACTCGGGATGCTGAGGCAGGAGACTCACTTGAACCCGAGAGACGGAGGTTGCAGTAAGCCGAGATCGTGCCACTGCACTCCAGCCTGGTGACAAAGCGAGACTCCATCTCAAAACAAAAAACAGAAACAAAAACAAACAAACAAACAAAAACCCCACCTATCAGTGGCTGTTGCTTGAAATTGGCTGCACTTAAAATAGTCCTATCCAGTGATCACATTTATAAACCACTCTGAATACAGTGGCCTAAGCCAAATCTCTATGTATCCCAAAATGCTCCCGATGGCAACCGGTCTACTTATTCATGAGAGTCTGGAACATGCTGGGAAGGATTTGAGAGAAAAACCTGGTCCCTGCCTCCATGACCTAACCACAGAGATGTGGATGTGTCAACACAACTGCCCCTGGCAGTATGAAAATGGGGACTCCAGTATGTGGTCATTTAGCATGTGCAGTTTCCACTCTTCAAGAGGGATCCCTATGGCCCATGATGGGCAATGTGAGCCCCAATGCAAGGCCAGTGTGGCCGAGCATCCATAGGCCCACAGATGAGCCCAGGTGACCGTGACTGTCCGTGAGGATGCTCTTGGCATTTTGGGTGGGATGGTTCTTTGTTGTGTGGTCTGTCTTGTGCATTGCCTTCTTGGCTTTCATTATTAACAGACCACAACATCCCCAGTCACTGTGACAACGAGCAGTGCCCCATGCATTTCCCTGGGGGCAGGAGGCTAGTTTGACTCCTGGTCACCACTGCCCGGGGGAATCTAAGTGCAGAGATCTGCCGGAAGTCTGCAGCTTGAGGCAGCTGAGAGTTCTCTCTTTTGGCCACTTGAGCATTTATTCTGGTGAGGAGGTGGCGGTGGAGGAGAAAGGAGAGAAGCAGAGGGTGAGCACGGTCCTGATTGCAGGCCCACAGCCAACCGGAGTGGGTGTGTGCTGTTTTTAGCTGCCCGGTGTCCATTCCCATTTCTTTTGCTTTTTTGAGATAGAGTCTTGCTCTGTCATCACGCTGGAGTGCAGTGGTGCAATCTCAATGCACTGCAACCTCCGCCTCCTGGGTTCAAGCAATTCTCCTGCCTCAGCCTCCCAAGTAGCTGGGACTACAAGTGTGCAGCACTACACTCAGCTGATTTTTATATTTTTAGTAGAGACAGGGTTTCACCATGTGGGCCACGATGGTCTTGATCTCTTGACCTTGTGATCTGCCTGCCTCGGCCTCCCAAAGTGCTGGGCTTACAGGCGTGAGCCACCACACCCGGCCCCATTCCCATTTCTTTTGGAAACAGGTTACCCACATTGCAGTTGGAGAATCATTTTCTTCCTTGCTCAGCACTCAGTGTTTCCATGGAGTTAATCCTAATGTTCCAAATGAGGCTGTGCAGCTCCAGCCTGGCCAATCAGACCTCTGAATTTTCGTGGGCACAGTGATGGGTCCCAGGAGGGAGACAGGTCCTAGTCAGAGCCCTGATGCCTTTAGCTGCAGAGAGGCCAGCTCACCTTCTCTGCTAGCCTTGACCTCTGAAGGCTGGGAGGCTGTTGCTGCTGAAGCTAGAATGGACCTGACTCTGCTGCAGAGAGACAGAGAAATGGCCCAGGCCCCTGGAGCAAGCCACATCTGAGCCAGAAATCTCTCTTGACTTTTATAGGAGCTAATACATTCTCATTTTGCTGGAGCCTACTTTGGGTTAGGTTGTCCAATATTTACAAAAGGGGACCTCAATATGCCAGAAAAAGGAAGTGTCTTCAGTCCAGAAGCTGCAGCCATAGAGTGCCCAGTCCCTTCCACCATGTCTATAGGTCCCTTCATTGTGACCGCAGGATAGGACCACAACATGACCCCTCCCCACTCCCACTCGTTTTGGAAAGGAAATCCTGGGACTGGGGGGTGCTGAATGGGCTCCAGCCTGGCCCATCCTGCCCAATCCCACCTGTGCTGCTGCGGGTAAACCAGCTCCCTGCCTCCCCAAAAGCTGCCCTGCTGCGTCCCAACTTAACTGATTCTTAGAGGTATAGCAGGTCACCTGGGCATGGGTTCATGGATGCCCTCAATGGCCACTGCATTAGGACTTGCCAGTACTGGCTGTCCTCCTCCCTTCCCTAGTGGGCTTTTTTTTTTTTTTTTTTTTTTGAGACAGGGTCTTGCTGTGTCATCTAGGCTGGAGTGCAGCGGCATGATCATAGCTCACTCCAGCCTCCTGGGCTTAAGCCATCCTCCTGCCTTGGCCTCCCAAAGTCTTGGGATTACAGGCATGAGCCACCATGCCCAGCCTTCTTCCCTCATTGACACTCCTCTCCCCTACTGGTGTTTGCTGGGATCACCTTGAACTAAGATTTTGAATCGGCTGCTCAGGAGCTAGATGGAAAATCCCTCAGACACTGGCTGTGTGTAGCGAAGTCACTAGGACTAACCACAAGGCTGCAGGGCAGGCCGCTCGCCATCACAGGTGACTCTGAAGCAATTTCTAGAGACAGTATTCCTGGGCACAGGGCCTCTCTCCTCTGGGGTGCAGGCCTGGAGGCAGGCCGGCACAGCTTTCCTATTCCCACTAACTGGGATTGCCCCAGGACGGAAGTGCAGATGACTGACTATGTTAGCTATTGAGTTAAGCTTTATAATTCCTTCCTTTGGAGTGGGAAAGTCCAAAGCAAACGTGGTGTTCTATGAGTGTGTGCAGAGAAAGCTGCTCCACCTGGGGTCTGTGGCCCACAACAGGAATGACAGGCACCAACTCTGCTTGACCGGCAGCTCGAAAAGTTACCGGGGTCCCCACACTTCCCTTCTTAGCCATTTACCAAGTCCAACTCTTACATCTCTAAATAAAACACGCTAAAGAAGCAGAATTCTTTCTTTTTTTTCTTTTTTTCAATTTTGCTGACAAGAGAGATCCTTGGATGGAAACTGGATCTGTAAGAAAAACAAGGACAGAGCTATCAGCTTAGACAATACCCCGTGTGACCTGGAATCCTGGTGGCTTTCCAGTTTCACATCCGTGGAGAAGTAAATGATTTAGGATGCAAATTTCTTCCATTCCTTGCATCCACTCTTCCTTTTAGCTGCATGCCTCGGGCTGTAATGCCTTTTGCCAGGCACCCGGCCACGCTTGGCTCCTGCTCAGCTCATGGGTGCCAGCTCCTTTCCTGGGGTCCCCTGCAGCTTCAGTGGAGTTTCACTCCCCAAAAGCTAGACTACAGTTTTTTGACCACATTCAGTGCCCAACATGAGTGGTAAAGAAGTCCTTTGTTTTAGGGCCTCATCCTCAGCTGAGGAAGATGCCAAAGGAGAGGTTCACCAAACTTTAGGAAAGAAAATTCTAGAAGCATCTTTCCCCATAGGGGAAAGATCCCACTGTCGTCAGATGGCTCTTCACTCTCTGGACAGAGAAGGACATCAAACCGCCTGCTAAGAGATGAGCCTATAAGCTCAGTATGACTCAGTGTGCCCCCACGATGCACCCCCATGATGCACCCCCATTGCCCTCTGCCACAGTGACTCTCATACAGGTTCCTGGGCAGCTTTCATTGGCTAAAGTTCTTCCCTGGTCCGTTAAAAAGTAAGCTATTTTTTTTGCTTGAAATAGGGTCTTGTGAGTTCTGTCACCCAGGCTAGAGTGCAGTGGTGCAATTATGGCTGATTGCAACCTCCAACAGCTGAGCTCACGAAATCCTTCCACCTCAGCCTCCCAAATAGTTGGGATTACAGGTGTGTACCACCATGCCTGGCTAATTTTTTAATCTTTCTCTTCTTCTTCTTCTTCATCATCATCTTTTTTTCTTTTTTCTTTTTTTTTTTTTTTGAGACAAGGTCTTGCTATGTTGCCCAGGCTGGTCTCAAACTCCTGGATTCAAGTGATCCTCCTGCCTGGGCCTCCCAAAGGTCTAGAATTACAGGTTTGAGCCACCATTCCCAGGCAAAAAATAAGCTAATTAAAAAAAAATAAGTGATTTTACAGGTGTCAAAAGTCAGTAAAGTTGGAGAGCGCTGATTTAACAAATGGTAATGATGATCATGATGATGATAACGGTGATGATGGTAACTACTTCCAAGGGCAATGGTTGTGAGGATTAATTGAGGGGATGTGCAGAATTGCCAGGTGCGGGGCCTGGTGACAGGGGTTGGTGGTGGTGATGATGGTGGTGATGGTGGTGGTAATGATGATGGTGATGGTGATGATGGTGATTATGGTTATGATGATGGTGATGGTGGTGATGATGGTCATGATGATGATAATGGTGACGGTGATGATGGTGGTGATATTGATGATGGTGATGGTGATGATATGATGGTGATGATGGTGATGATGATGATAGTGATATGGCGATAGTGCTGGTGGTGGTGATGGTGATGGTAATGGTGATAGTGGTGGTGATGATGATGGTGATAAAGGTGATGGTGATGATGGTGATGGTGATGAGGGTGGTGGTGATGATGGTAATGGGGATGATGGTGATGATGATAATGATCAGGATGATGGTGATGGTGATGATGGTGGTGGTGATGATGATGGTGATGCTGGTGATGGCAATGATGGTGATGGGGATGATGGTGATGGTGACGATGGTGGTGGTGATGATGGTGATGGGGATGATGGTGGTGATGATGATGGTGGTGGTGATGATGATGGTGATAAAGGTGATGGTGGGGATGATGGTGGTGATGATGATGGTGATGGTGATGATGGTGGTGATGATGGTGATGGGAATGATGGTGGTGGTGACGATGGTGGTGATGATGATGGTAATGGGGATGATGGTGATGATGATAATGATCAGGATGATGGTGATGGCGATGATGGTGGTGGTGATGATGATGGTGATGTTGGTGATGGCAATGATGGTGATGGGGATGATGGTGATGGTGACGATGGTGGTGATGATGATGGTAATGGGGATGATGGTGATGATAATGATCAGGATGATGGTGATGGCGATGATGGTGGTGGTGATGATGATGGTGATATTGGTGATGGCAATGATGGTGATGGGGATAATGGTGATGGTGACGATGGTGGTGGTGATGATGATGGTGATGGTGATGATGGTGGTGATGGTGATGGTGATGGGGATGATGGTGGTGATGATAACGGTGATGATGATTGTGGTGGTGATGAGGATGGTGATAGTGATGAGGATGATGGTGATAATGGCGATGGTGCTGACAGTGTTGGTTGTGGTGGTTTGTTGCTATGTTGAGTGCTTACCCTGTGCCAGGAACTGTGCTAAGTGTTTTACATACATTTTTCCTGCTCAATCCCCACGGCAATCCAATGAGAGCTGTGTTATTATCTCCATTTAACGAAAAGAAAATGAGATCGGGAGTTAAGGAACTTGCCCCAGGCCTCAGAAATACTGGGTGTTGAAGAGGCCTCTGACCCCCATCTTGCCTGCCTCCAGAACTCAAGCTCACAACCAGTAGGCTCTGCTGCAAGGAATTTTGAAGATAAAATGCTTTAACTCACGTGCATTCTTCATGTTGCCAGTGGACAGCATCCACCCACCCCTGTCACCAGGCCCTGCATTTCTGCACATCCCCTCTATTAATCCTCAAAACCATTTGCCGCGGAGGTAGTTATTATTCTCCCCACTAGACATGACAGTGTCAGAGAAATTAAGAAACGTCTCTAACACTCAGCTATCAGGTGTCAGGGTCAAGAAAGGAGCCAGCAGCTCTAACTCCAAAGTTTGCATCCTTCCCACCACCTCCACGTTGACAACAGCAACGGGACCCACCAGCGGCGAGCTCTGTCCTCTAACACCTATCTCACCTCTCCCAACAGGCTCAAGAGGAAGGTACTATAATTTTCCCTATTTACAGATGAGGAAACTGAGGTTCTCAGCTGCTCAGAAAATACCTCAGGAAATAGCATGGCAGCTAAGGAAATACCATGTCCACTGCCACAGACATGGGACATGGCATCACAGAGGGTGTGAGGGGATGGTGAGCTCTTACTGGAGTTTACCTTCTGGGCTTGGCTTTTGAGGTATTCTGAACATCTCCCAGGCCCATGCTTTATGGCGCCCCCCTCGCCTATCAAATCCTGGGCTGGTGGAGGTCTGGACGTGGGGTCAAATGCTTCTCATTACCCCTATGCTATCATCCCCCTTACTAAGCATTTGCTAAGTGTGGACATGGCAAAGGGATCATCGTGGAAGTTTCCGGTGCCCCACCCAGACCCTCACACCTCACACTCAATGTCTTCTTCAAGCTTCACAACAACCCTACAAGGTAGGTTCATTTCACTCCATTGAGAGAGAGGAACCTTGGGAAATAATATATTACACCCACTGCAAAGGCAAGGCAAACAGACAATCATCCCCTTCCTGGGCTGGCGCATCCAATGCCCAACTCCCGCTAGCTGTGAATGTGCTACTAACAGCTCAGAGCTGCCCCTTTCTCTAGAGGAGAGCCCTCAGCCCAAAGGGAGCTGCTCTTTCCACAAAGACATGCAGTCCCTACTCAACCCTTAGGGCCAAGCACGGACAAGGAGGAGCACCAGAGGGCAAGCCTCTTGCCTCTGCAGAGACCAACTGTGTGTGTTGTCATTCTTGTTCCGGGCTCCTCCTTCTCAGCTCCTTCCCCTGCCTCCTCTTGTCTCCTTCACTCCCTCACTCCCTTTGAGCACCTCCTCAATAAACCCTGTCCATCCAACCCCAGTCTCAGGTTCTGCTTCCAGGGGCGAGGAAGATGGCCATGTGAGCCCTGCCCCTGGCCCTCAGGGAGCTTGCAGGACAGCTGGGAGACAGGCCACAGACATACAGCAGGATCATCCACAACAGGAGGTGCAGGTGGAGAGGACGGGGCTGAGAAGATGGAAGACATCACTGGGGATGGGAAGTTGGAGAAAGGGTTCGTGGAAGAAGGGGACTTTCTGGGTGAAAAAGAGGCAGGACTGGGTAGGAGACAAGCTTTCAATGCGGGGAGAAAGTTCTGAGGAAAGGTTCTAGATGGCTAGGAACCTCTGCCTCCACCCCTCCCATTTCCTCCTGCCCAGTGTCCGTGACCAGGGAAACCATCTCAAGGCGGAAAAGGTGGGGGCTCTGCTCAGAGAATCCTAATAATGAGTCTAGCATCATCTGAGAGCATCAGCCCTGCCCTAGAGGGCCGTGCTGGCTTACCCTGAGGCCAGGAAGGAGTCACTCCATTGTCAAGCTTCCCTCGAGAGGCCGGGGGCTTGGTACACCTGGAAAGATCACCTCCATTTGAAGGGACTGAGTGTGCCACATACCTGCCGGACCGCGGGCCTAGGGGCTTGTTCACAAGGATTCAATGATGTAGTAGGCAGCTCCCAGAGCCCCCAGAGCCACAGCCACAGTTCCGAGGGCTTGGAGGACACGCGTTACGATGACTGGAGGGTTTCCTTGAAGATCTTCTGCAGAGCGAAGCAGAAATTGGGGGTGGTGGGGAGCTGGGCTTCATGATGTCTACCAGCAGGAGAAAGTGGAAATTATATGTACCCCTCAGGTTTGCAGGAATACCCATCTTCCCCCTCTCCAAATTCCTCTGAAGAGAACATTTAATTCTTCCCACCCTTCCAACAAGTCCCTACTGAAAGACCCCCGAGGATCGGAGGGTGAGCTGGCCTGGGATGCCAGCTGCCCTGAACACCCAGAGGGGGACCAGGTTAGGAAGGTGGTCAAGTTCACTGTGAGCCAGGCCTTGTGCTAAATACCTCACACCCAGTGTCTTCTTCAGGCCTCACCACAACCCTATGAGGTAGGTTCTATCACTTCACTCCATTGAGAGGAAGGAAACTTGGGAAATAATATATTATTACATCCATGCAAAGGCAAGGGAAACAGATGATTAGGCCAATAATGGTGAGGAAGACATTCAAAAAATGCAACACCCATTTTGATAAAAATCCTACCAAAGTAGGGATTCTTGTTTAATGTGAGTATGGCTGGAAAGCCAAGAGCTAACATTACACTCCATTGAGAAAAGCATGCAGGTGCTAAAATTGGAAGAGACATGTCTTGCGCTGGCCGGACAGGGTCCCTGCCCCCTCCCTCTCACTTTCTTGATTCGGAGCCTTGAGTTTGCCTTTTCCTGCACCCAGATTGCTCCTGCTTTTCATCTGAAGCCAGAGAGAGCTTCAAGATCCTTTTGGACCCGGCTCACATGCTGTTGACACTACAATGCCCAGCTGGATGCCAGCTCAGAAGCAAGCACACTCTTGCTCTGAAACTCATGGAGCCTCTTCTGGAGGACATGCGGCACTTTCCATCTTGCACCTTGGTTTCTAAATGCATGGGTCTAGCCCTCCATTCAGACTGGAATAATTTTAGGGGTAAAGTTTCCTGTTCTTGTTTCCCTCACCGTGCCCCATGTCCTCTGCATAGTAGTTTTCCTCAATAACACTGTTGGTTTTAAAACGATACGAACCCATGGCACAATTTGGCCACAGATGGATGGAAATACTAAGTGTGTGGGTGGGACGTGGCTAACGGTGGCAGGCAGGTCTTTCCTTGACGGGGCTACTGGGTGGTAGAGTATTTTTGGCTCCGAGCATGTTCTCCCTATATAAGCCCCCGGTATCTACTTGCTTCTTTCTATATGTAGGAGAGATGGAGTTTTCCAGCTTCAGAAGGGAGAAGGGATTGGGTGGGGGAGGGGCTGGAAGAGGAATAGGATGAGGATGAGGGGTGGGGGTCTCTGCTCCTGGAGTAGGGGTATGAAGTCTCCAAGTGGAAGGGCCTCTTCCATTGAGATCTGTGAGGCCCTCAGGTGGGAGGCATGGAGACCCCTCTCCCAGCCCATGCGTGTAACCTGGCAGCACCAAACACGGGAACACCTTCAGTCTGTCCCCTACATGGGTGGTGTCTTCCTATGAGGGCAGTGGCAGTCATAACACTGCTCCTGGTGGCTTTGTGAGAAGAGGAAGTACGGACAGATACTACGGGTGATGTCATGGGGGCTGCCACCAACAGACCAGCCTGGGGGCACACGTCCCCACTGGGGACCCCAAGAAAGAGCCCGACACACTCTGAAGGGGGCTGAGGTCTTCCATTGTGTGGAGGGGGCATATGAGTTACAAGCAGGTTTTTATCATTTAACTCTAGGGACATTCATAGGCAGCTCAGGAACCTAAGGCCCCTGCCTATGGAACAGACCACTGAGGGGCCACAGAGGCACGTGGCCAAACAGTGTTTAATCACAAACTCCTGAGCGACTCAGAATCGGTGAGGGCTGGGAGGGAGAGTGTTTTGAGGATGGAGAAAAGAAAAAGGAAGCCCTTAGGAGGCAAATCCCAGTAAGGAAGAAAACTGGCCCCTCTCTGTGCAGGCGGGATGGGTACCCCAGGAGATGGGGCCAGTCAGAAAGGACCCTGCCTGCCAACGTCCAGGAAGTGGTCAAAGGAAAGAGGGAAAGGCTTTCCTTTGGCCTCGGATTCCCAAGAGGGAGTGATACACGATTGCTAATAAGGTCTGGGGGCAAAGTCTGGCTCTGGGAACTGTGCGCCCCGAGGCTCCAGCCCCCCACGCTTGGAACCTGTAGAAGGTGAGCAGGTTGGGGAGTCCTCTCCCTGGCACCATCTGCCAGTCCCGAGGCAGAAGGACGTCGAAGATGCGGCTATGGCACAGTCCCAGACGACGCCAGCAAGCAGAGCTGCAGGGGCAAGTGGCATAGGAGCAGGAATGCGGGGCGGCGTGCGTCAGAGGCCCTGCGGGGACAGAAGGCGGGAGGTGAGGGAGGCACCTGCCCCGGGAGGCTGGCGGGGAGCCTGGACCACAGCCTGAGAAGGCCCCCCCAACAGCAGCAGCTGCAGGATGACCAGGGTGAGTCTTGGATTTTTTCAAGGCAGCATTGAGGATTTGGGACTGAACTACCCAAGGAAGGCAGTTCTCCCACAAAATGTTCTCTAACCAAACAGAAGACTGACCGCATGGGAAAATGGCTGTTTTATACCAGTGCTACCTGGGAATAGCAACAACGACGACGACGACGATGATGATGATGGAGGTGGTGCTGATGGTGTAACAGCAGGATGCTCTGTACTTATCATGCCCATCTCATTTAATTTCACAATAATCCTGTAAAGGGGATACTGCTGGTCTTGTTTTACAAATAAGGAAACTGAGGCTCAGACAGTTTAAGGGATATGCCCTTATGGGGAGTAGATTGCGAAGTCAGCTGCAACTCAGGCTTTCTCACCTTCAATTCAGTGAAAATGGAATTTGCAGGTGACTGCTCACCCTAGGAGAGGCTGCATGGAGGTTCCTGGAATTGGAGCTGCCACATGCCATTAATCTCGAACATACTGATCCATCCAGGCAGTAACTGCGGGTCTAGTTTCCAGTCCCGAGCCTATCTTCCATTTCTGTCCTCCTCTGGTATGGATCCCAGCAAAAAGGAGATGATGCCCTCTGTGGTTTGGCAAGAGGATTTCTGGCTGGATCATTCCCTCTGTTTCCTGTCTGTAGCTCTGTGGCTTCCTCACAGAGCTCCAGATTCTTCTGACCCTAAGCTGGATGAAACCAGTAGTCAACCTGGCAGACTCAGGACACTTTCTGCTTAGACCCGCCCATGACGTGTACTTTCCCTGAACTGAGGAGAGGGGATTCTAAAGGGCAAGACTTGTCTTTTCTCTTTTGTTAGTTACAAAAAAAAATTTTTAATTGAGATATAATTCCCAGGCAATAAAATTCACTCTTTTAGAGTGTTCAGTGGTTTTTAGCATATTCACAAAGTTTTGTGGCCATCACCGCTAATTTCAGAACATCTTCATTTCCCCAAAAAAGAAGCCCCATCTCGATGAGCAATTACTCCCCATTATCCCAGTTCCCCCAGTCCCTGGAAACACATTTGCCTATTTTGAACATTTCATGTAACTAGAATCATTCGATGTGTGGGTTTTTGGGAGACTGGATTCTTTTACTTAGCCAAATATTTGTAAGGTTCATCAATGTTGTAGCATGTATCAGGATATCACCTTTTCATTGCCAAATAGTATTTTACTATATTCATTGTATTGTGGTATTTCATATCACATTTTGTTTACCCATTCATCAGTTGATGGACATTTGGGTTGTTCCCAGTTTTTGGCTATTATAAATGTTGCTGCTTTGAGCACTCGTGTACAAGTTTTAGTGTGAATATATGCTCTAATTCTCTTGGATGTTCACTGAGAAGTGGAATTGCTGGGTAATATGGTAACTTCATGTTCCTTTGAGGAAACACCAGACTGTTTCCACAGCAGCTGCACCATTTTACATTCCTGCCTACCGTGTATGGGGATTCCAGCTTCTCTACATCCTCGCCGACACTTGTTACTGTCCATCCTTCTGAATAGTATTCCTAGTATGGAATACTTGCATTTTCTTGAGCTACAATATTTCTGCACACAAAAAGTCTTGGATTTTAGAAAATGGCACGCTTTACTTACAGTCCTCACCCTGCATCTCTAACATTCCTCTCCCCTGTGGAGAATTCCTTTGGAAGAAGTTTAGGGTGTTCGCTGTAACCACTGGCGAGCCTTGTTTCTTGCTTTCTTGCTTTGCCTCTTTAATGGGCCAAACTCCTCTCCAGGTATGAGTCACATGCATTCATTAAAAGACTTGGGAATGGAAAATTTTGCTTTCTACAGATACCAGTTCTGAAGACCAGAACCCAGAAATGTTTCTCCCAGTGGCTAATAATCACAATCTATACAACATATAGTATGCCACTCAAAACCATTTTCATATGTCAAGAAGGGATTGCTTCCTGGCCATGGAAGGATTGTTGGCATGGTGATACCTTGTATTTAGCACTTCCATTTCCATCTCTTATTTATTTTGTGCCCACGCAATCCCAGTGGAATAAACTGTGGCCCAGGGAGTGTGGCCTGTTCAAGGCCATGGAGCCATGCGCGCTGGCTCACGGCAGACCCAGGAGATGCTCAGAGAAAGATGTTCTTCCTCTTGTGGAGACTCCTAGGCCTCTTGGAATGGAAAGGTCAGTGCTGTGGTTTAGAGCGAGGGTTCTGGAATCAGAATAGAGCGTGTTTCCCTTCTCAGGGCTACCAGTGTCTGCTCCGGAGCAACTCGTTTGATTCCTATGAGCCTTAGTTTCCCTATCTATAAAATGGAGATGTTAATAGAAGACCTTTTATAGGATTGTCACATGTGAAAATTGAGACAGCTGAGCTGAATGCTGGGTACACAGTAAACGCTTAGTGATAATGTTAGTTCACTATCACCATTATTGTTAGTGGTATACACCAGCCCACCTCCTGAACTCCACTTGAATTCCCTTTACATAATCCAATGCTTATTCAGACACTGGCTCCCAAGAAGATGGGGAACCACTTTTCCTGACAGCCATTACATATTCAGACAGAGCTAATTGTTGGAAAGTCTTTTATGTTGAGCTGAAGTCCGTCTGTCTCTAGTGTCTTCCATGGGTAAAGTTGCTAGTTTAGAAAATAAAAATATGGATGTCCATGTAATATTTGGGACACAGATACTAAAAATTATTTGTTGTTCGCTAAGATTAAAATTTAACTGAGAGCCTTACATTTTGTCTGGGTATCCTATCCATGAGACTGTATTCATCCATTTTCACACTGCTGATAAAGATACCTCAGACTGGGCAATTTACAAAAGAAAGAGGTGCATTGAACTTACAGTTCCACATGGCTGGGGAGGCCTCACAATCATGGTGGAAGGTGAAAGACACATCTCACATGGTGGCAGACAAGAGAAGAGAGCTTGTGCAGGGAAACTTCCTTTTTTAAAACCATCAGATCTATGAGACTTATTCACTATCACCAGAACTGCCCCCATGATTCAATCACCTCCTACTGGGTCCCTCCCATAACACCTGGGAATTCAAGATGAAATTTGGGTGGGGACACAGCCAAACCATCTCAGACCCTTAGTCAGACCTCTGAGGACAATAAGGAACAAGTCTATTCACATTTTCCACCTGACAGACAGACATCCTCCAATTCCTTCTATCGACTGTCATATACTAACTGGCCTCCTGACCCCTCTCATCCTCCATCAACCTGGGCTATCTTCCTTGGACCAGTTCGTCAGGCATCTTTTACAGCCCAAAAAGATAGCTTGATGAGGACAGAATAAAGCAGTATCATCATTTCCCTTATTCTAAACCATATACTTCTATTTATGCATCCTTGGTTTTTAGTTTTTAGCAGTTGCATGGCACTGCTGATTCCTAATGAGCCAGTATTACTATGGAACCAAGTTAAATGTTATTATGTATGTGTGGCTGTGTCAATGAGACTCAGGATGATGAGAAATGACAAAACCCAGGAATCCTGGTCTCCTGGGTAGAAACAAAAATCAAAACCTTCACACTCTACATCCAGCTCCAGAATACATGGTAACCATGCATCACTATCCTACAAAAACCAACATCTGGGATTTCCTGGAACTCCATCAGCAGGAAGCCTAGAACTGCTGAAGCTAGAAGACTGCCCACCTGCTTTCCTGGATTGAGGGGATGCCTTCACATTAGCATCTGGAGAGAACAGGCACCGAGAGGAGCGGCGGACTTCGGGTGCTGGAAGGGCTTGGGATGCTGGCTGCCCGGAGGTGGTTTCAAGGCTAGACTGCTGTGGTGTGGATTCAGGGCTAGGTTGCTGTGGTGTGGATTCAGGGCTAGGCTGCTGTGGTGTGGATTCAGGGCTAGACTGCTGTGGCGTGGATTCAGGGCTAGAGTGCTGTGGCGTGGATTCAGGGGTAGGCTGCTGAGAGGTGGAGTTGGAGCTAGGATGCTGGCCAGTAGACTCTCGGTGGCGTCTGGCCTCTGACCTTTTCTTCTTGACCTTTTTCATGGTGGATCCTCCCAACCTAAACGTGGACCTACATGGAGCTGCCTAATTTCCCGGCTCCCTCCTAGAGGGGCCGTTTGCCCTCTGCCCTAGGGACCTGGCTCTCTCCAACTCCACCCAAGCCCCACAGAGAACAGTGATCCACACCTCCTGTGAGGTCATAAAAGCCAGGGTGGCTCCTATGGCAGGGCTGCAGGGACAGTCTTCTCCACAGACACCAGCCTGGCATTCTCCCTTGTCCCAGGCTGCCAGGATAGGCAGGGGGCAGCAGCTGCCCTGGTCCTCACAGCCCTAGTGATGCCCGGCTGTGCGGCTCCATGACAGCCAGATCCCCAGTATTCTGCAACCAGAGCGCCGCCTTTAGGCACCTCTCTGCCAGTGTGTTCCTGGGTCCACGTGAACTACCTGTTTTGCTCTTAAGATACCTTGGATGTGATGCTCAGCTCTGTCACTGGTTTCCACATACCCCCTAGTCGTACACCTCAAAAATCCATGGTTACCACACATTTTGCGAGTTTTAGGTCACCTTCCTGAATATTTGGAGCTTCTCTGAAAGCTTTAATTCCCATGACCCAGAGCCTGCTGCCATTTCAGAGTAGCTTCCCCCTTCCCCAAAAGCCTACCCCCCACCATGGGAGGGGAGTTTGGGGGTTGACCTTTTTTTTTTTTGAGACAGAGTTTTGTTCTTGTCGCCCAGTCTGGAGTGCAATGGCTCGATCTTGGCTCACTGCAACCTCTGCCTCCCAGGTTCAAGCAATTCTCCTCTCTCAGCCTTCTGAGTAGCTGGGATTACAGGCACATGTCACTATGCCCAGCTAATTTTTGTATTTTTAGTAGAGATGGGTTTCATCATATTGGTCAGGCTGGTCTTGAACTCCTGACCTCAGGTGATCTACCTGCCTCGGCCTCCCAAAGTGCTGGGATTACAGACGTGAGCCACTGTGCCTGGCTTAGGGCAGCTACAGTTCTTTTTTTTTTTTTTTTTGAGTTATTAGAACATTTATGTATTTATTTATTTTCAGTATTAATTTTTTATTGCATTTTAGGTTTTGGGGTACATGTGAAGAACATGCAAGATTGTTGTATAGGTATACACATGGCAGCGTCATTTACTGCCTTCCTCCCCTTCACCTATATCTGGAATTTCTCCCCAGGCTATCTCTCCCCAACTCCCATCCCCCACTGTCCCTCCCCTATTTCCCCACAACAGACCCCAGTGTGTGATGCTCCCCTCTCTGTGTCCATTTGTTCTTCTTGTTCAATACCCGCCTATGAGTGAGAACATGCGGTGTTTGATTTTCTGTTCTTATGTCAGTTTGCTGAGGATGATGGTTTCCAGGTTCATCCATGTCCCTACAAAGACACGAACTCATCATTTTTGATGGCTGCATAGTGTTATATGGTGTATATGTGCCACATTTTCCCTGTCCAGCCTATCATCGCTGGGCATTTGGGTTGGTTCCAGGTCTTTACTATTGTATACAGTGCTGCAATGAACATTCGTGTGCATGTGTCCTTATAGTAGAACGATTTATAATCCTTTGGATATATACCCAGTAATGGGATTGCTGGGTCAAATGGAATTTCTGTTTCTAGGTCCCTGAGGAATCGCCACACTGTCTTCCACAATGGTTGAACTAATTTACACTCCCACCAACAGTGTAAAGGTGTTCCTATTTCTCCACATCCTCTCCAGCATCTGTTGTCTCCAGATTTTTTAATGATCGCCATTCTAACTGGCGTGAGATGGTATCTCAATGTGGTTTTGATTTGCACTTCTCTAATGACCAGTGATGATGAGCATTTTTTCATATGTTTGTTGGTCTCATGTATGTCTTCTTTTGTAAAGTGTCTGTTCATATCCTTCACCCACTTTTGAATGGGCTTGTTTGTTTTTTCTTGTAAATCTGTTTTAGTTCTTTGTAAATTCTGGATATCAGCCCTTTGTCAGATGGGTAGACTGCAAAAATTTTTTCCCATTCTGTTGGTTGCTGATTCACTCTAATGACTGTTTCTTTTGCTGTGCAAAAGCTGTGGAGTTTGATTAGGTCTCATGTGTCTATTTTGGCTTTTGTTGCCAATGCTTTTGGTGTTTTGGTCATGAAGTCCTTGCCTATGTGTATGTCCTGAATGGTTTTGCCTAGATTTTCTTCTAGGGTTTTTATGGTGTTAGGTCTTATGTCTAAGTCTTTAATCCATCTGGAGTTAATTTTTGTGTAAGGTGTCAGGAAGGGGTCCAGTTTCTGCTTTCTGCACATGGCTAGCCAGTTTTCCTAACACCATTTATTAAACAGGGAATCCTTTCCCCATTGCTTGTTTTTGTCAGGTTTGTCAAAGATAGGATGGTTGTAGATATGTTGTGTTGCCTCTGAGGCCTCTGTTCTGTTCCATTGGTCTATATCTCTGTTTTGGTACCAGTACCATGCTGTTTTGATTACTGTAGCCTTGTCATATAGTTTGAAGTCCAGTAGTGTGATACCTCCCGCTTTGTTCTTTTTGCTTAGAATTGACTTGGCTATGCGGGCTCTCTTTTGGTTCCATATGAAGTTTAAAGTGTTTTTTTCCAGTTCTGTGAAGAAGGTCATTGGTAGCTTGATGGGGATAGCATTGATTCTGTAAATTACTTTGGGCAGTGTGGCCATTTTCATGATATTGAATCTTTCTAACCATGAACATGGAATGTTTCTTCATCTGTTTGTGTCCTCTTTTATTTCACTGAGCAGTGGTTTGTAGTTTTCCTTGAAGAGGTCCTTTACGTTCTTTGTTAGTTGTATTCCTAGGTATTTTATTCTCTTTGTAGCAATTGTGAATGGCAGTTCGTTCTTGATTTGGCTCTCTTTAAGTCTGTTATTGGTGTATAGGAATGCTTGTGATTTTTGCACATTGATTTTGTATCCTGAGACTTTGCTGAAGTTGCTTATCAGTTTCAGGAGATTTTGGGCTGAGGCGATGGGGTCTTCTGGATATACAATCATGTCATCTGCAAATAGAGACAATTTGACTTCCTCCTTTGCTATTTGAATACCCTTTATTTCTTTTTCTTGCCTGATTGCTCTGGCTAGAACTTCCAGTACTATATTGAATAGGAGTGGTGAGAGAGGGCATCCTTGTCGAGTGCCAGATTTCAAAGGGAATGCTTCCAGTTTTTGCCCTTCGGTATGATATTGGCTGTTGGTTTGTCGTAAATGGCTTTTATTATTTTGAGATACATTCCGTCAATACCTAGTTTATTGAGGGTTTTTAGCATAAAGGGCTGTTGAATTTTGTTGAAGGCCTTCTCTGCATCAACTGAAATAATCATGTGGTTTTTGTCTTTGGTTCTGTTTATGTGGCGAATTACGTTTATAGACTTGCGTATGTTGAACCAGCCTTGCATCCCTGGGATGAATCCTACTTGATCATGGTGGATAAGCTTTTTGATGTGCTGTTGCAATCAGCTTGCCAGTATTTTATTGAAGATTTTTGCATCTATGTTCATCATGGATATTGGCCTGAAGTTTTCTTTTCTTGCTGAGTCTCTGCCGGGTTTTGGTATCAGGATGATGTTGGTCTCATAAAATGATTTGGGAAGCATTCCCTCTTTTTGGATTATTTGGAATAGTTTCAGAAGGAATGGTACCAGCTCCTCTTTGTGTGTCTGGTAGAATTCGGCTGTGAACCATCTGGACCTGGGCTTTTTCTGGGTGGTAGGCTCTTAATTGCTGCCTCAACTTCAGACCTTGTTATTGGTCTATTCAGGGTTTCGACTTCTTCCTGGTTTAGGCTTGGGAGGATGCAGGTGTCCAGGAATTTATCCATTTCTTCCAGGTTTACTAGTTTATGTGCATAGAGTTGTTTGTAATAATCTCTGATGATGGTTTGAATTTCTGTGGAATCTGTGGTGATATTCCCTTTATTGTTTTTTATTGCATCTATTCGATTATTCTCTCTTTTCTTTTTTATTAATCTGGCTAGTGGTCTGTCTATTTTGTTGATCTTTTCGAAAAACCAGCTCCTGGATTTATTGATTTTTTGAAGGGTTTTTTGTGTCTCTATCTCCTGCAGTTCTTCTCTGATCTTATTTATTGTCTTCTGCTAAATTTTGAGTTTTTTTTTTTTCTTGCTCCTCTAGCTCTTTCAATTTTGACGATAGAGTGTCAATTTTGATCTCTCTTTGCTTCTTATGTGGGCATTTATTGCTATATATTTTCCTCTAGAGACTGCTCTAAATGTGTCGGCAGCTACAGTTCTTAAGAAGTTACTTCAATAATACAACTTGAATACTTGACTAATACAGCCTGGCTTTTATAAGAAACCCTATTATTTTGGCAAATAATTTTCCCTGAGAGAATAACAGCTGTTCAGAAAACTGAAAATTTTCTCAAACTCATTGCAGTGGCAACCACAGACTATCTCCCAAATCCCAACTGCTTGGGTTAAGCAGGTGACTAAATCTTTCCCTAAATTAATTAATTTAATGTGTCCATTAAATGTGATTTTTATTTTAGGATGGAAGAGAGTAAAGCATTTAAAAAATTTTTTTATGTTTTCAGACAGAGTCTGCTCTGTCGCCCAGGCTGGACTGCAGTGGCATGATCTTGGCTCACTGCAATCTCTGCCTCCTGGGTTCAAGTGATTCTTCTGCCTCAGTTTCACAAGTAGCTGGGATTACAGGCCTCTGCCACCATGCCTGGCTAACTTTTGTATTTTTAGTAGAGACGGGGTTTCAACATGTTGGCCAGGATGCTCTCGATCCCTTGACCTCGTGATCTGCCCCCCTCGGCCTCTCAAAGCCCTAGGATTACAGGCGTGAGCCACTGCAACTGGCTGGGAAAATTATTTTTAAAAGACAATCTAAAGCTCACTCTGTGACTGCAACATAAAACGTGTTCACCTTAGGCGACTACTTCCACTGCGAATGCGTCACGGTGGGTGAGTGTGGGACTGCCGAGTACATGAACTTGGCAGTCCCAAGTTCATGGTTAAGGCTTAGAGCAGACCCAGGTAGATAAAAAGAGCTCTGG